GAGAGGAGAGGAGAGGAGAGGAGGAGGAGAGGAGAGAGGAGAGGAGAGGAGATATGTTGTCTCTGAAGGGGACATCTGGTCCTCACTGTAACTAGATGATATGTTGTCTCAGAAGGGGAAGAGGCAGCTCCCTGGGAAGGTGAACGTGGACATCGGGCCCCTGAGGACCAGCCTGTCCTTTGAGAGGAAGGACAGCACGGTGACGCTGATGCAGAACGACCAGGTGCTCATCAACCTGCTGACGGACATCGTGACGGAGAAGAGGACGGCCACCAACATCAAGCCCAAGATCCCGTCCACCTTCGACTCCACCAAGGAGACGAGGGAGCAGGTGAGAGCACTTCCTGTCTGCTGAGGGAGCAGGTGAGAGCACTTCCTGTCTGCTGAGGGAGCAGGTGAGAGCACTTCCTGTCTGCTGAGGGAGCAGGTGAGAGCACTTCCTGTCTGCTGAGGGAGCAGGTGAGAGCACTTCCTGTCTGCTGAGGGAGCAGGTGAGAGCACTTCCTGTCTGCTGAGGGAGCAGGTGAGAGCACTTCCTGTCTGCTGAGGGAGCAGGTGAGAGCACTTCCTGTCTGCTGAGGGAGCAGGTGAGAGCACTTCCTGTCTGCTGAGGGAGCAGGTGAGAGCACTTCCTGTCTGCTGAGGGAGCAGGTGAGAGCACTTCCTGTCTGCTGAGGGAGCAGGTGAGAGCACTTCCTGTCTGCTGAGGGAGCAGGTGAGAGCACTTCCTGTTAGATTTTTTTAAATCATCCAAAATATTTTATTTTTTGGGATTCTGAGTTCTTTTAGATTTTCCAAAAATACACATTTTCAGAAATAAAAATTCTGAGAAACAAAAACTTTTTTATTCAGAATTCTAAGATTTCCCAAAATTCAGAAAATAAACTGTTACTGCTCTGATCACCTCAGTATGACCAGGTGAGGTGTAACCTGACCTCAGTATGACCAGGTGAGGTGTAACCTGACCTGGTCATACTGAGGTGAGGTGTAACCTGACCTCAGTATGACCAGGTGAGGTGTAACCTGACCTGGTCATACTGAGGTGAGGTGTAACCTCACCTCAGTATGACCAGGTGAGGTGTAACCTGACCTCAGTATGACCAGGTGAGGTGTAACCTGACCTCAGTATGACCAGGTGAGGTGTAACCTGACCTCAGTATGACCAGGTGAGGTGTAACCTGACCTCAGTATGACCTGACCTCAGTATGACCAGGTGAGGTGTAATCTGACCTCAGTATGACCAGGTGAGGTGTAACCTGACCTCAGTATGACCAGGTGAGGTTCAACCTGACCTCAGTATGACCAGGTGAGGTTCAACCTGACCTCAGTATGACCAGGTGAGGTTCAACCTGACCTCAGTATGACCAGGTGAGGTGTAACCTGACCTCAGTATGACCAGGTGAGGTTCAACCTGACCTCAGTATGACCAGGTGAGGTTCAACCTGACCTCAGTATGACCAGGTGAGGTTCAACCTGACCTCAGTATGACCAGGTGAGGTACAACCTGACCTCAGTATGACCAGGTGAGGTTCAACCTGACCTCAGTATGACCAGGTGAGGTTCAACCTGACCTCAGTATGACCAGGTGAGGTATAACCTGACCTCAGTATGACCAGGTGAGGTTCAACCTGACCTCAGTATGACCAGGTGAGGTGTAACCTGACCTCAGTATGACCAGGTGAGGTTCAACCTGACCTCAGTATGACCAGGTGAGGTTCAACCTGACCTCAGTATGACCAGATGAGGTGTAACCTGACCTCAGTATGACCAGGTGAGGTGTAACCTGTCCTCTGTTCTCCTTCAGGGAGTCATCCTCAGTCTAGGAGACGACAGGGGAGTCATCAGGTCAGAGGAGCACGGAGAGCTGCCCTTCAGAACCAGAGAGAACTTCAGCGACGTGGACTTCACCCCCGAGGACGTGGGAGGAGAGGTGGAGTTCACTCTGATCACAGTGAGTTAATGTGGAGTTCACTCTGATCACTCTGAGTTAATGTGGAGTTCACTCTGATCACTCTGAGTTAATGTGGAGTTCACTCTGATCACAGTGAGTTAATGTGGAGTTCACTCTGATCACAGTGAGTTAATGTGGAGTTCACTCTGATCACAGTGAGTTAATGTGGAGTTCACTCTGATCACAGTGAGTTAATGTGGAGTTCACTCTGATCACAGTGAGTTAATCAGAGACATGTCCTTAGTAACAGCTGGGAGAGAGGGGGGGGGGCTACAAGGATCTGGGGTTTGGAGCAGGACACTTCAGAGACATGTTTTTATATCTGAGACCTGTAATATATGCTTGAATTGAATCCGTGCAGAGTTAGTTCTGACCCAGGTTGTCTCCACAGACCGGGCCCCAGCGTGCAGGCAGGATGCGCCGGGTGAAGGAGCCTCTGCTGCTCACGCTCTCTGCCGCCGCCGCCGCCATCTTTCCGGAAGCTCCGACCTGCGCTCCGACCTGCGCACCGACCTGCAGCGCCGCCGCTGACGGAGACTCTGCGTCGCCTGGAGGGAAGAGAGAACAGAGCAGCGTCCCCACGGAGGTCGGGCCCAACATGTGGCTCGACCAGGAGCTGTACGAGGGCATCGTCAGCCAGCCCATCATCGAGCCCTCGGTGAGCCAGCACGCATCAGGAGCTAGCATACCTGTTAGCCTAGCTGTTGGTTAGCTGTTAGCCTAGCTGTTAGTCTAGCTGTTAGCCTAGCTGTTAGCCTAGCTGTTAGCCTAGCTGTTGGTTAGCTGTTAGTCTAGCTGTTGGCCTAGCTGTTAGCCTAGCTGTTAGCCTAGCTGTTGGTTAGCTGTTAGCCTAGCTGTTAGCCTAGCTGTTGGTTAGCTGTTAGTCTAGCTGTTGGCCTAGCTGTTAGCCTAGCTGTTAGCCTAGCTGTTGGTTAGCTGTTAGCCTAGCTGTTAGCCTAGCTGTTAGCCTAGCTGTTGGTTAGCTGTTAGTCTAGCTGTTGGCCTAGTGGTTAGTTTAGCTTTTATCTTAGCTGCCTTCAGGGTCAGATTCAGATGCTGCCTTCAGGGTCAGATTCAGATGCTGCCTTCAGGGTCAGATTCAGATGCTGCCTTCAGGGTCAGATTCAGATGTTGCCTTCAGGGTCAGATTCAGATGCTGCCTTCAGGGTCAGATGCTGCCTTCAGGGTCAGATTCAGATGCTGCCTTCAGGGTCAGATTCAGATGCTGCCTTCAGGGTCAGATTCAGATGTTGCCTTCAGGGTCAGATTCAGATGCTGCCTTCAGGGTCAGATTCAGATGCTGCCTTCAGGGTCAGATTCAGATGCTTCCTTCAGATTCAGATGCTGCCTTCAGGGTCTGATTCAGATGCTGCCTTCAGGGTCAGATTCAGATGCTGCCTTCAGGGTCAGATTCAGATGCTTCCTTCAGATTCAGATGCTGCCTTCAGGGTCAGATTCAGATGCTGCCTTCAGGGTCAGATTCAGATGCTTCCTTCAGGGTCAGATGTTGCCTTCAGGGTCAGATTCAGATGCTGCCTTCAGGGTCAGATTCAGATGCTGCCTTCAGGGCCAGATGCTTCCTTCAGGGTCAGA